CTTTACTATTGTTATCGGGGTGAGATGATATCTCAGTTGTTTTTATTTGCATCTCTCTGATAGCTAGGGATTTTGAACATTTCTTCATGTGTTTGTTTGCCATCTGAATATCTTTGTTGGTAAATTATCTATTCATATCCTATGCCCTTTTTGTAATTGGGTTGTTTATTTTTCTTTTTGAGGTGCTACAGTAGTTTATATATTTTAAATAGAAGTCCCTTATCAGATGTGTCATTGACAAATATATTTTCACAGTATTTGTCTTTTGTTTTTTTATCATGTTGGAGAAATTTTTTACATGCATAGGATTTGATTTTTAGAAGGTCCCATTCACCTATTTTATTCTCTCCTGGTTGTAGGTTTTTCATTATGCTTGGGAAACTGTTCATGTTGCGGATTGGGGCTTCTAAAGTTCTTCCTAGGTTCTCTTTGATGGATTTTATAGTCCTCAGTTTTACTTATAGGTCTCTTATCCACCTTGAGTTGATTTTTTGTGTAAGGTATGAGATGTGGGTCTTTCTTAAGTTTTCTGCACATGGTTTTCTACATTTAGCAACACCATTTGTTAGACTATCATTTCCCCACTTAACTGATTCTGTCTCCTTGTCAAAGATCAGTTGACCATAGATGAATGAGCTGATTTGTGGAGTCTAAATTCTATTCCCTTGATCCATGTATCTGTTACTGTACCAGTACCATGCTGTCTTGATCACCGTGGCTGATTTGAGATCAGGGATTATAATGCCTCCTATCTTGTTTCTCTTTTCCAGTAGTGTAGCTTAATCAAGATCTCTTTCCATTCCAGATAAAATCAGAAATTGCCTTTTCCATCTCGTTCAAGAATGGAATTTGTATCTGTCTTGGGATAGCACTGAACTCGAGTTTTCCTATACATATGCATGGTATACTCCTCGTGTTTCTAGTTAGATCTAACCCCATGCATTTTTAACTTTTGATTAGCTATTGTAACTGGTATCATTTTTTTAAAACTCCGTTTCTGTTATTCTCTTTGTTGTTGTGGAGAAATCCAACTGTTTGTATGTTGATCTTGTACCCTGCTATTTTGCTGAATTGGTTGACTATGTCCAATATTTTCCTGCTACATCTGTAGAGTTTTCTAAGTATACCATCATCTCATCTGCATATAGAGATAGTTTTACCTCCCCTTTGCCAATTTTGATACCTCTTACTTCCTTCTCTTATTTTTCTTGTTAATCTTTTCCTCTACTCCTATTTTGCTGAGTGTGTTAATCAGAAAGTGTCCCTTATTTTGTCAAAGGCCTTTTCTGCATCAATTGATAGAATCATGTGGCTCTTGTTCTTTGCTTTTTAACGTGATGAAGTACATTAATTGTTTTTCTTACGCGGAACTATTTTTGCATACATGTTATGAATCCCACTTGATCATAATGAATTCTTTTTTGATGTACTATTGGACTCTATTGGCCAGGGTTTTATTCAGGATTTTTGCATGGATGTTCATGAGATATATTGGTCTATAGTTTTCTATTTTGGTGATGTCTTTGCCTGACTTTGGTATCAGGAATATGTTTGCTTCATAGAATGAATTTAAGAGTACTTATTATTGTTAAGTGGAATCAAGTCGAGCACAACATAACGACCCTATGAACAAAAGATCTGAACCCTGTTCTATAACTACCATCATTTCCCTATGTTCAGCCACTCCTGCTTCCAAACCTGAATCAACTGGAAGCTCCAACAAACACTGTCCATGATGGGTAATCATTATGACATTTGACACACCAGTGGCACAACATTCAACATCACAGCAACCCCAAGTTACTTCAGTACAGCAACTTGTCAGACTAGTTCTGGACCACTTAGAAGAATGTTCATCTCAAAAACGATTAACACACTGCGGCCTTTTATATACAAAGCCCACCCACCAGGTCCTGGTTGATTTTAAACTAAGAGCCTTCCAGTCCACAGCTCATTGTAAGCTAAATCCAGCAGAGCCAATCAGTTCACACCCAATTGTGAATGAAAAACAACAATAACCAAACAGTCCACACCCAATCCTCACCAAGACAAGAGAAACCATCTTTCAGAATCCAACAACTTCACACATGCATCCTTGCATATATGATTCATAGAATGAATTTGAGAGTATTTCATCTTCTTCTATTTCCTGAAATACGTTACAGAGAATTGGTGACAGCTTTTCTCTGAATGTTTGACAGAATTCACTGATAAAACTATCTGGCATAAGGCTTTTTTTAGTCGGAAATTGTTTCATGACCTGTTTAATGTCTTCTTTTGTAATGAATCTGTTCAGGCATTCTACTTCAGTCTGTGTCCGTTTAGATAGGTTGTGATTTTCTAAGTATTTGTGCATTTCCTTTAGGTTTCCATATTTGTTTGAGTACAGTTTTTCATAATTTTCTACTGTTAACCTTTTTATTTCACTTGATTCTATTGTGACATTGCCCCTTTCATCTCTTATTCAGATTTATGCATCTTTCTTCTCCTTTGTTAGTTTTGCTAGTGGTTTGTGAATTTTATTGATATTTTCAAGGAACCAACTCCTGATCTTCTTGATAATTTTGTTTTCTGTTCTCTATTGCATTTATTTCTGTCCTAATTTTTATAATTTACTTTTCTATTAGAGATTGTCAGGAGTGTCATTGCTATTTTTTTAAATACTTGTTGGAAATGTCGAATTAAATAGTCAATTATCAGGTTTTCATCCCTTTAGATGTGCTTACTTATTGCTATGCTTGACCTTTAAACACTGTTTTCCCTATATCCCAAAGATTTTTTTTTTTGTAAGTTGTGCTTTCATTCTCATTTGTTTTAAGAAATATCTTAATTTTTTTTAAGTTTTTTTCTATTACCCATTCATGTTCAAACAGGGAGTTTTTCAGCCTCCAGGTGTATAGTTTTTTCCTCCTTTACCTACTTGTTGTTGATTTCTAATTTTGTAGTACTGTGGTCTGTGAAAATGGTTTGTATTAATTTCTTTTTAAAAAAAATTGTTGAAGCTTGCTTTGTGACTTAATATATGATCTACTCTGGATAATATTCCATGCACACTGGAGAAGAATGTATTCTGATTTTTGGGGGGGCTGCATTAGTCTACTAATATCTGTAAGATTGCATTGATTATGTGATTTAGTTCTTCAGTATCTCTGTTGATTTTCTTTCTGGTAGTCCTATCTTCCTTTTAGTTTAGAATCGTGTGTTGAAGTACCCTGTTACTATAGTAATGCTGTCTATTTCTCTTTTTAGTTCTGTTAATATTAACTTTTTGCAGTTCTCACATTCCATGTCCCAATCACCAGTGTCTGCTTACAACTGTTCCTCTTCCTTTGTATTTCCATATTTGAAAACTCAACCTCCTTTGCCATTTCTGTTATCTAAATGTGTTCTGTTGTACATAGGGTTTTCAGAGGCCTGCTGTTTCAGAAGTGGATGGCCAATCCTTCTTCCTAGTCTGT